CTGAATCCGAATCCGGCTGCAGAATTGCTCTATCACGCCGATATTTCGAGAAATCTTAACCCAAAACAGCCAAATAAGCCATTTTTAGCCATATTTGAAATTCAATTAAAAATTGATAAAATTTTTGTCGTTTAATCCATCGATGATATCATTTACTACTATACAGCCCCTTCAAAATCCATTTTGGACCGTCTCAAAGCGATTTTTTTTCCGGAGATATAGCAATTCGAATTTCGATAAATTGTATCTCGTAAAAGCCTAATCTCTATACCGTTGTATTAGAACAAACGGTATTTCTAGACAGATTAGCTTATTCTTTTATCTTTTGTCACAGAATATTTTTAAATCTGCGAGAATTGTTATACTCCAAGCCATTGATACACATTTGGTCCCCGGCACCACGGAAAACCCTCCCCACCACTTTTACCCCCACCAAGCAGACACTTACTGGCACCGATTCGGCTGACTTCGCCGCTGCGCGTGAGCGAGCGAGACAGCGAGAAAGAGAGAGCGCTCGTCCTTCTCGCTCTACCAGCAACTTGTAAACACAAGTGAGTACTAGAGCGAAAAGGACGGCCGCTCTCTTCGCTGTCTCGCTCGCTCTCGCGCAGCGGCGAATTCGGCCGAGTCGGTGCCAGTAGGTGTCTGCTTGATGGGGGTAAAAATGGTGGGGCGGGTTTTCCGTCGGGGGCCAAATGTGCATCACTACTCCAAGCGTCGCGCGGCGCTGCTTCTCGTGGCACGCGGTGCTTTGAGTGGGGATAAACGGCACTCGGGCACACACCGTGATCTGGGAGTCGATTCTTGAACTTATGCGATATTTATCGTATGAGAAAAATATCGCATGGTTCGTATCGCATGCGATTTCGGAATCGTATTCTCTACAGTCATTTATTGCCATGCGATATGCTATATGTGATAAATCTCGTATACGATTGTCGTACAGCGTTGCCAGATTTTGAAATAATATAATAACCAATCACAATCGAGATATATAAGAATCAGCCACGTAATAAACCGTATTTTCTGTCGAGTTTTTCACAGTTTTTCAAGATAATGAAATGTAAATTGCAATAGTAATTAAAAGTGTATGTTAATAATTAGTAATAGAAAATCAAAATGGAAACAACTACATCAGTAAAGAAACGATGCACATACATAAATGATGAACAAAAAAATGTTTTAATTGGTAAGTGACTTCGCAGCGAACAAGAACGCATTGAAATAGGTTAAAGACTTACAATTATATTTTTCAATTGACCATAATGTATTTTAGAACTGCTTGATAATTGTATAAAAGAATAAAAATACATTCGGATCGAAAAGAATTCGTTTAACGTTCGCAAATACATTTTTCTGAAGAATCCGTCTCAATCCATCCTTGCTTATTGAGATTTCGTAATATGTATTTTTGAATTTTAGAATTCATGACTAAACATCCTGAGCTACAAAGTGGAAAATTGTCTGCCACTTTTACTTATAAAAATGCTCAAAAATTATGGGAGGAAGTAACAGCACGATTACGTCAGATACCTGGTGCAGTAAAAGAGTGGAATAAGTGGAGAAAGGTATACATACATTGAATTAACCTTACATTACAGAATCATCTTGTGAAAGAATTACCCCGTATTTTCTCTATAAACTAATTTTACAAAAAAATATCAGCCCAAATAACAGAAAAAGTAGAAGTTATTTAAATGTTATCTTCAAAAATTTATTTGTAAAGAAACTGCATCAGAGAAATTTTTTCACTATTTATTATGTAAAACAGTAATGTATTTAAATAAGTTTTCTTTGCTATATAGACTTGGCAAGATATGCGAAGTGCAACTAAAGCCAAAAATACTTCTATCAAGAAACATGCTCAAGGTACTGGTGGAGGACCTGCCTCAAGTCAAGTCTTAACAGAAATAGATCAAAATATTTTAACACTTATTGGTCCAACTGTTGTGGAGGGACATAATTCAACACAGGAATCCAACGTGCAATTTGTAAGCAACCTTATTATTAAACTTAATATTCGTCTTAAGAAAATTTTAATTTCATTTTTATTTTTATTGATCTATCTACATGTCGCTTTCATGTGTTAGCTTCTGACAATAACAATTGAAATTTTTATTATTAATGAAATGTTTATCAATAAAAAGGAGCACAAGATATTACATAACTACTATTCTATATGATAACTGTAAAATGCGACTGCTTCATAATTGACTTCTCGTTGGATTTATATTATGTTTAGCTACTTATTCAATCAATTGAAAATTATTGTACTGAAGATGATCAGATTCTGACCGAAACGTCTGCGAAAAATTTATTAGCTGTTATGATGAGTTTAAATATATGACTTCACAAAAACATCTTGTGCTGTGGCTACATGCGCTTTTTTATTGATTTTTGTTATTTAAACCACTTCTACAGTTTTAATAAAATGTTTATGTTGTAGGATTGGAATGATGAACCAGAAGTATGTAATGTGGAGTACCTATCACATGACGAAGAAATTGTGAAAAATTCTGTACAACGTGACAATCAAGAAGTAATGCAAGATTCTACTCCATTGAAGTCATTGCCTTCTCATAGTTCTCATGAGAAAACAGAACAAAATATTTCTGAAGAATATTTAAATAAAAACGATAAGAATAGAAATAATAATTCAAAATGTTCAGATAATTCTAAGAAAGGTGCATCAAAAGAAGCTAACAGCATTTTCAACGTAATGCTAAATGCTAAATCAATTCCGCAAAAATCAGGTACTAAAAGAACCGCTGCTGCTTTGAGATATTCAAAGTCAATAGAACAAACTGAGAAGCTGGCTGAAATATCACACCAAGATGGTCAAACACGAAAGATGTATTATGAAAAAAAACTCGAGCTTTATAAAAAAAAACTAGCTCCTAAGGAGAGAGATGTTATAGCCAAAGAAAACATTTACATATTGCTGGAGCAATTCTTAAAAAAAAGCAATTTAAGGCGTTGCATATTGTTGGCTGTGAAAATAATTTGAGTTTTAATAAGTGAAGTACCAAGATATATTGCATTGCACGTCTCAATCGCTGATTGTTACAGAGTCAAGCTTTGCTATTTGTTAATTTAAATACTTTTCCTTTTAAGTGATATTTTTCAATATTTATGTCATAGTATATTTTTCGTTTTGAATAGTTTTAAGCATTTTGCAAAGACACAATAGTCACCGTGAAAGTATTATTTTTTATTACTACGTGTTATGTAAGAAAATTGAAGTACAAAGTAGGTATATATCATTAAGTGAGTTTTTAGAAATAAGAAAACAAGTGTTATTTGCATTAATTTGAAATGTTGACTTATATTGAATATGTTGAGTTTTTAGAAATAAAAAACAAGTGTTATTTGCATTAATTTGAAATGTTGACTTAAATAAAAAAGATTATTGCATTAAATAAAAAAAATAATTGCACAAATATAAACTTTTATTATGAAATATTAGTCCTTATCAATCCCATTATCGCAGTTTGTCCTTTTACAAAATATTAAATATTAATAAAATTCTAGAGAAGTATTGTATTATTGGAAGTATCGTCTTATTAAATTATCACGAACTCTTCGCCCAGCAGACAATTCAAGATTTCTATTTGCTGCACCTATGTCTGGTTCACGTATTGGATCTACATCATCCCAAGCAAAGTCTAATAAATCACCTTCTCCTTCAGGTATAGGTACCTTGTCATGAATGCACATATTATGTAGTACTGTACAAGCGTTAATGATCTTTGAACAGAAATCTGGTTTATAATGTAAGACTCTATGCTTGAACAAGCAACGAAATCTCATCTTCAATAGACCATTACAACATTCAATTAATGATCTAGTACTCATTTGTCGAGTGTTATATCTTAATATTGCATCATTTTGTTCATCATTTAACATTGGAGTCATCATTCATGGTCTCAGCGCATAACCGGAATCACCTGTAAGTTAACAGGCAATATAATCTTATAGATTAAAACTGGGAACAATATGTAATTACTATTTAGAAATTTGCATAAAACCTAGTAAGAAAAATTGATGTCCACAATTGTAAATATCACGCATTAATGGAAGAATATTACTGTTATTCCAAATGTACGAATCGTGAGTGCTTCCTGGATATCGAGCATTAACATTCAAAATTCTAAGATCAGGATCACATATCTGCAAATAAAATTGTAATTATCTTATTTGTATAATTATCTCTTTGCATTATTTCTTACCAATTGTACATTGATAGAATGATATCCTTTTCTATTCACATAGTTATGTTCAGGATAATTTGCATCTCCTTTCGGAGGTGGGAATATTGCAATGTGAGTGCAATCTATACAGGGCCGTGCGAAGAGAAAACTGCGCCCAGGGCATAACATGAGTTTGGCGCCCTTTCCGCGGTTAAAAAAACAAACATTTAACTGGTACAAAATGCCCGAATGCCGTGTAGTTTTATAAGTCCGCCTTTATATGTATAGGTAATATTCTTTGTGGAATTTGAAATGAATACTTTTTCAGTTCTAATAAATATGTAACATACATAAATATTGTTAGGTATTTATATTATTATAATAAAACTAGATCAACTCATAAATTAGAACAATAAAGCTTCTTCTTTATTAAAACTATTTTTCTTACAATTAGTCTTTAGTTAATAAAAGAAAGCTGTTAATACAATAAAATTTAAGTCTTGAGTTAATAGAATAAAACTTGTTAATATAATAAAATTGTTTGAACAATTACAAAAATAAAATTTGTTAATAAAATAAAACTTTTCTCTCTCCGTTTGGACAATCACAAAAATAAAATTTGTTGATAAAATAAACTTCTCTGTTTAAACAATTACAAAAATTGTCAAAAATATAACTTAAAATTAGAAAATAATTACGTCAACTTTACTTTCCTAGCTTTTAAGGAAGCAAAATTATCAATTATTTTTTCCAAATTTAACAGTTGCGTTATTTCGTATTCAATTGCAAGTATACTTAAATTGCTTAATCTCTCTTGGCCCATTGCAGATCTTAAGTAATTTTTCACCAATTTAAGTTTGCTGAAGGATCTTTCTGCTGATGCGGAGGTAACTGGGATAGTTAAGTAAATCCTATATGCTGTCTCCATATTTTTGTAATTAGGTATCAAGTCAAAATCATGAATTAATTGAAGGATTTCTAAGTGGTCCATTTCTTTAAAATTTTCGTTTAAAGGCGGAAACAATTTTTTCGCACTCAGTACTTCACTCAAAAACTCCGGCCCGTTCAAGTCAGCAGCATATTTATCAACCAGATCCATACAAAATTTGCTCAAAATATTTTCGTCCATTGATACTATATTTGAGCCAGAAAGAAATTCAAAATCTTCAGATACCTTCCGAAGTTTCTCAAATCTCCAGTTAAGTTGCTCGATTATTGTATCAATAGCTTCCAAGTAAGCAACACGAAATTTCTCATTCAAATTGGCACTTTCATCAGAAGCTTCATAATCAAATTGTTTTTTTGTTTTTCTTTTCCGACTCTCCTTAAATACAGGATCTATATCTAATGACTTGGCCAAATCTATACTTTCCTGTAGAAAGTTTGGAAACTTCTCATTTCTTATTGTGTTTATAATATTTTTCAGACTTTCAATAAGTTTGCTAGCGATCGAAACTGTAATAGTTTTTTTCTGTAGAAGAACATCTACATTATCAATTTCCTCCAAGATGTTATTCCACACTACCAAACTGCAGATAAAGTGAAAATTTTTTATCTGTTTTAAAAAGTTTTTTGCTCCTGAGTATGTTTCCTCATTTTTTCTAATTTGCGTAAGGTCTTCCAAAGCTTTAAAAATATTTGGCAACTCTTTGTACACTGCAGAAATAGCTTGCTTTTTCGATGACCATCGACTATCACAATGTTTCTTCAAAGAAACCGTTACATGTGACATAAGAATATCCCATCTGTCAGGAGAAGATGAGAAAAAGACAAATAAACTTTGGACAATACCAAAAAATGTCATCATTTCTGGTGATACGCTAGCAGCGTGAACTCCAACTAGATTTAATGAATGTGATGAACATGGTATAAAATAAGCTAATTTGTTGACTTCGATAATGCGAGCCTGCACTCCTTTGTATTTCCCCGCCATGTTCGCACCATTATCGTAACACTGAGCTCTACAATTCTGGATATCTAAGTTATCAGCCTGCAATTTGTTTAAAATATCTTGTGCCAGTCCTTCACCCGTTTTTTGTTTGGTTTCTATAAAATCGATAAACCTTTCTTCAATTGAACACTTTTCGTTTCGTGTTACCTTAACATATCGTATGATCTGAGTCATTTGCTCTTTGTGAGCTGTATCTGGAATACAGTCAAAGGAAATAGAAAAGTACTTCGCTTTTTGAATTTCGCTAATAATGATTTTTTTTACTTCGTGGGCAAGTAGGCTTATCACTTCATTCTGTATAATATTTGAAAAGTAAGAGATATGTCTTCCTGGAATTTTGATTGCCTCGACGTGACATCGTATTTCTGGGTCGTGTTTTGCTATTAACTTAATAGTTTTCAGAAAAACGCCGCAATTACTATCGTCTATATCATTTGATGAGCCTCTTAATGCCAAATTATTCTCGGCGCAATAAAGAATAGCGTTTATTACCGCTTTCAAAATTTTTCGCCATTTATTTTTTTCTGACTGAATATTTTTTTCCAGTTCAGATGTAATAACATGACCTGAATTCAATCGTCTCTCAAGTTCTTTCCAATGGATGTACGAGTTTCTATGTTCCTGTAGTGAGTTTTCATGTTCATTAATTTTAGGATTTAATTTTTTCCAATTAGAAAAACCACGATCTGGATCGGATAACTTTTGAGGGCGAAGATTATACTTTCCAAATAATAAACATGAGAAGCAAAATACTGATCCTTTGTGTCTGCTATATGTTAACCAATCTCGTTTTACAGTTTCTCCATTAGGCATAGTTTTATATAACCATTTCGTAGAAAATCGTCGACCTTCGTTATCCATAGACTTTAAATAATCAGTATCTGTGCCTTGCTCAGGACCTCTTTCTAGAAGAACAGCAATTAAAGAATGACTGTAGGGACGCTGCCATGTCGCTGGATTAAAGGCATTCAGTAATTCTTTTTCTCCTGCAATTTCATCTTGAGCAACAATGTCATCTGTATTAGTAGTTTCTGGAGAAGATAAATTCTGTTCTTCAGTTTTTGATTTCGATTCATTATCACTGTCTTGTGCAGAACGATCTTTTTCCTCAGTAAAAGTAGTCGATGAAGAACAGCCGGCATCTGAATTTTTTTCTTTATTCAGCCATTTATGCCAAGTGCTGGCAAGCATTCTTTCTTCCTCTCGCTTCTTTTTCAATTTTCGGAACTCCGCTCCTGATTTCTTTTTTGACATGGTTCTGATTGTTTTTACTTAGACAGGCGATCACTGAAGGAAAAGATAATTTATAAAAGAGAAAAAGAAGTTTAAGAAAAGACAAGTATATAAAAAATATTAGTTACCAAAGTTGTAAAAGACGAAAGACGATTAATCACGTATAACAAAAGTTCCGAGTGCGTCCAATTATACCAGAGCGCGGGCCGTGTGCCGCGTGTGCGGGTCGCTGCAGGCACACGATCGACTTTTGTCGTGCGACAGAGTATTCTCTCTCTCTCTCTCTCTCTCTCTCTCTCTCTCTCTCTCTAGTCTCTCTATCTGCTATCTCACGCGGCGTCGTGTCTCTGTCTCAGTCTTGAGAGAGAGAGAGAGAGAGAGAGAGAG